ATAAAAACTCAACAATGACCAAACCACAAACATAAAGCATTCACTGGATTAAAGAGCGCATGATAGCCAATAGAAGAAGTGAACCTTTGAGAATTTTCCTTCCAAAATTAATTCAACAACCTTCAATATATACAATGAAGTGAGCAGAAGCTAAAAAAACAACCTGGAACGGAACCATGGACGAGAGCTCGACGAATTCGAATGTGACCTAGCCGGCGAACTCGAACTCAACCTTGGAGCTGCTGTTTTTTGTGCGAAAAAAGGGACTGTTCTAGGTCTGTTTTGGGGAGCTTTAGAGAGCTGATTTTTGTGGATTTGTGGCTGTTTTTCAGCCGAATTTCATTGGGTTTAAGAGCTATTTTTCAGCTGCCTTTAGAGCTGTTTTTTGGGGGGTAATTTCGGTGAATTTGTGGCTGTTTTTCAGCCGAGTTTCGTTGGGTTTGAGAGCTGTTTCTGCTTCATTTTTAGCATCTTTTAATCTGCGTTTTGAGGCTGAATTTGAGGTGAAAATGACTGGTCTTTGTGAGCTCTTACATGGTATTTTGAGGGAGTATAAGACTGATTTTCATGGAGGAAGAAGGCTGCCTCTGTTAAAGGAGGATCAGACCAGCCCTTTTTTTTTTCGTTCCGCTCCTTCTCTCTTTTTGCTCTCGTTTTTTTTTTTTTTCTTTTTTTCCAGATCTGTTCCACCTCTATTTGTACCTCAAGCTCTAGGTCGGAATATTTTGTGGGGAATGGGGAATGGCATAAAAGGGAAACGAAAATTGTGAGAAGCGTGCGCATGTGGATTCAAAATTGTGCTGGTAAGACCTAAGGGGATCTTTTTGAAATAAGAAGTTTGTTACCAAACCTTTTATCTGCCGTGAGTTGGCATAGAATAATTGATTTTGTTTTTCTTCATTTTCGTTTGTCATTTCTTTTAAAACTAATAAAATACTTAGCTTAAAAAATGCAGAAAGATCAAGAATAGTTAGACCTAAGAGAAAATACAAAAAATGTGACTATTTTTGTAGTTTTAAATTTTATTAAATAAATCTACTAAAAATAAAACATATCTAAAATATAAAGATTAAACTTAAAACTATTTAAATGCTAAAAAGTGGTGAAAGTCTAAATATGGTCAAAATTAGGTGCTCAAAGCATGCCCCTCTTTGTTTGGAAACATAAAGAGTTTTCAGACAAAGACAAGGTGAGCCGTGTGGCTAATTTTTGACAATATCGTTATTCAAAAGAGGAAGAAAAAAAAGAAAAAGGTTACAACCGAGTCTTGGTTTAGGACAGCCTACATATCCCGGGTTATACGGGAATCAGGTCACGTGTAGTTCAAGGAGGGTGATGGAATGATGAGTTGGAGAGTCGAGTGAGGTTCCGTCGAGGCTCCGGTCCGTGGTCTTGTTATTACATCAAAATCAAAAGAAACTAAACAAGCCTATTAGCTATGGGTTACAAGATTCCTATCTATAGGTCTTCTAAACTTGATCTTGAGTCTTGACTGATTCTTTAGGTAGACTCTGATCTGAACCTTGATGCTTGCTAGTTGCAGGTGTTAGTTCATTCTTCTAAGGCTTCTTCTGATCAAAATGGGAAATGTAATGCTCGTGACTTCAGTCATGTCTTGAGCAGTCTACATCTTTTTATTTGCTTCTGCATTTTGGATTCACTTCTTTTTCTTTACCTTTATTCTGGATTGAAACTTCTTCCTTTGGTCATCTCGAACCCTATGCCTCGAGGTAAAATCTGCTCAGACACCAAAATAAACAAACAAACAAAATTTTTCTACCCTAGTTTTCACTAGGAAAATTTCGTGAGTTATTGTAACTAAATTATAAACTACTTCTTTAATAAAACAATAAAAAGGTTGGGAATGGTATACCCGGAGATGATTTGTTTGTGCTTTTTTTTGGGATGGTGTTCCTTTTGTGTCAAAATGGTGCCTCGACTAAGGATTGTTATACCTTATGTTGGGAAAATGCGACGAGGGGATGGTGTACCCAATATTAGGAAAGACCTCGGGGAATGGTGTACCCTGCACTTAAGGTCAACTCAACTAGAGAGTATTGTACCCTATGTTGGAAAAGGGGGACTAGGGAGTGGAGACGCTATGTCTAAAATACCATCAACTAGGGAGTGGAGGCCCTATATTAGAAAAGGAGGCTAGGGAGTGGAGACCCTATGTCCAAAATAACATCAACTAGGGAGTGGAGACCCTATATTGGAAAAGGAGACTAGGGAGTGGAGACCCAATGTCTAAAATAAAATCAACTTGGGAGTGGAGATCCTATGTTGGAAAAGGAGACTAGGGAATTGTGTACCCTATGCTAAAACTAACCAAGAAGGATTTTTTTTTTGAGAAAAATATTTTTAAACAAATTGACCCAACACCTTTTCTGAGGGCATGAACAAGTAACTTTTTTTTAATCCAGAATTCTTCTCTTTTTTAATTATCCTAGGAAAAATTCATCAGACTAGGGATTTTATCTTAAAAGAAAGATTCTTCAGACTAAGATTTTATCCTAGGAGAAAAATCATTAGACTAGGTTTTCTAATTTTTATCTTTAGGAGAAAGATTCATCAGACTAGGTTTTCTTATCTTAGGAGAAAATTTATCAGACTAAGACATCTATCCTAGGAGAAAGATTAATCAGACTAGGTTTTCTTATCTTAGGAGAAAGATTCATCAGACTAAGACTATTATCCTAGGAGAAAATTCATCAGACTAAGTTTTCTTATCTTAGAAGAAAGATTCATCAGACTAAGGGTGTGTTTGGTACGAAGGAAATGTTTTCCTAGAAAATGATTTCATGAAAAATGAGTGGTTTTATCACTTATTTTCCCTTGTTTGGTTGATGAGTGGAGAACATTTCCCAAAAAATATTTTCTAGTGTTTGGTTAGAGAGTAGAAAATACTTTTTTTTATTGAAATGAAAAAAAATACTTTTCTACATGAAAAGAAAGTATTTTTTTTGTTCAAATGAAAAAAAAATACTTTTTAAAATCATGAAAAAATACTCATTTGTTGAAATGAAAAAATAAATCTATCTATAACATGAAAAGAAAGTACTATTAACATAATATTTTATGTTATTTCTAACATTTCTCTCTCGGCGCACGTTAACGTGGCCTAGCTAACGTGCGCTTGGCCATGGGAGGGAGAGGCAGACCTAAGAAAAATCAGATGAAGGTCCCAATTAATGACCAGCGATCAACGGAAATGAGGAATGCTGTATTAGAATTGTTTATGTCACCAAAGGGGTACGAATTGAAGAGCCAACTGAAAATTTCACTCCGAGGAGCATGCAGAGTGAGCTGAGCAAGGAGGAAGCAGATCTCTCTCTTAATAAGGGTAAATTGAAGGCAATTTCTATTACACCTGTAGCTGCACAAACTATAGGAGGTGTCTGGAAATGGGAAAACTCAAACACAAGTGACAAAGACTATCAACAATGGAACAGTACCATGCAACTATGGTACTGTTCAGAGCAGTAAAAATGGTGAGATAAGGAATGAAAACAGGAATCAGTCATGGGCAAATATGGTAGTAGGGAACAAATTAGCCATGAAAGATATGAATTTACAGTTTATGGCTCCGGTAGTTCAAAATGGTGAGAAGATAGTGAAACTAGAACTTGATGATGTTGAACAGGAAACTGATAAAAGGAAATCTGCGATTGTCCTGTATGTGATAGGGGAATCACCTACTATTGGAGCAATGGAAAGATTCCTGAGCTCAGTGGGTAAATTCTCAGTGAAACCACAGATCTATTATCATAATGAAGATTACTTTGTGATAAGATTTAGCAATTTGGAGGAAAGAGATCAGGTGTTATATTCTAGGCCTCATACACTGAACAATAGACCTATAATTATGAAAGCATGGTCAGAAGATTTCAATGTGCATGATGAAGTACTGAAAACTATTCCCTTATGGGTGAGATTTCCTAATTTGCCTCTTAATTGTTGAAGTATGAAAGCATTAAGTAAGATAGGAAGTGCGTTGGGAAATCCTGTTTATGCTGATGAATGTACTGCTGGTTCAATTAGGATTTCTTAAGCAAGAATGCTAATTGAAATGGACATCACTAAACCATTGCCTAGAAATGTGAAACTTCAGGATCCTAAGGGGAGGCTAATCCAACAGGAAGTTGCTTATGATTGGGAGCCAACATACTGCACTAAATGTTTGAAAATAGGACATGATTGTACTGAGGTTAAAAATGCACAACCACAAAGAATGATACAACAGAGGAAGGTGATCAAAGGCAAGCAGGTCTGACTCAGAACAGATAGAGATGGTGCCAATGAAAAGAAGGAGACTGAACAAAAGAAAATGACTGTATCAACTCAGCTGGCAGAGTCAGAGTTAGAAGGGAAAGATGCACAAAAGAATGATGAGGGGTGGATACCAGTCCTTGGTATATCAGCAGCAAGGGCAGCTAAGGCTAAACAAAATGAAGAACAGGAACTAGCTGGAAATAATGGATTCCAAAGTTTGAAAAATGATCAAACATATGATGAACCAGGTACAAGCAAAGTGCAGCTAAGTAGCCCAGAGGTGCAGGAACTGTATCAAGATCCTTATTTCATACCAGTATGAGTGTGATAACATGGAATGTTAGGGGGTTGAATAAAACTTATAAGCAAAAGGAGGTAAAGGAGTTCATAAAAGGAAATAATAAAGCAGTAATAGCTTTGGTTGAGCATAGAGTAAAAGAGTAGAAAACTAATGAGGTAATTAAAAAGATTGCACCTGGATGGAAATGGACATCCAACTCTAGTACAAGGCACAAAAGTAGAATATGGGTAATTTGGGATCCTAAAATCTATACATTTGAACCAGCTGAAGTTGATGAACAATTGATACATGGCCAGATTAGAATAATTTCAAAGTCAATCACATTTTGATTTTTAGCAATATATGGCTTGCATACATTAAAGATAGGTTGAATTTGTGAAGAAAGCTGACGCAGATTCGTAGTATGCAACAAGGTCCTTGGTTAGCTATGGGGGATTATAATGCTGTCCTACATGCACAAGACAGACAACATGGTTCTGAGATTCAAGATATGGAGACAAAAGATTTTAAGGAGTATATGAATGATACTGGGATGAATGAATTACAATATGTGGGAAAAAATTACACATGGACTAACAACCATACTTACAACAGGATAGACAGGGGGCTTGTGAATGCTAACTGGATGATGACAATGCCAAATTTGAAAGTGCAGGTGCTAGAGCCACTTGTGTCTGATCACTCACCACTGAAATTAATGATCACACAGGTACAGGGAAAGAAGAACAAATTATTCAGATTTTTCAACTGTATAGCTGATCATCCCCAATTCATACAGCAAGTTGAGCTAGCTTGGAAAGAAAGGGGTGCAAAAGGGACGATGCAGGCAGGCTGGAATAACCTCAAAAAGACAATGAAGGTTATCAAAGGGATAAACATACAACACAATAAAGGGGTTGATAAAAGGATTAAAGAGACCAGGAAGGAGTTGCAGTCAGTACAAGAGAAAATGAGTTGTAGACTACAAAAGATAGAGTTAATTGAGAAGGAGAAAGCCTTGAAGTGTGAATTAGAAAAATGGGTAATGATTGAAGAGAGTATATACTAGCAAAGATCCAGAGTTCAATGGTGGAAACTGGGGGATTCAAACTCAGCCTATTTCTTTGCACAGATGAAGAATAGGAGTAATTTGAATGGAATCTAGATTTTAACAAATGACATGGGAACTCAATTAGTGATGGACGATGACATAGAGGCAGAAATATCGGGATATTATAAGAAACTACTGGGGTCAAGAGCAGAAAACATTCCAGCCATCAACCCAAATGTCATGAAACTAGGAGCAGTATTAAATAGAGAACAACAGTTACAACTTATCAAACCAGTGACTAAGGAAGAAGTATGGGCAGCATTGAAGGATATCAGTGATCTAAAAGCTCCCGGATATGATGGTTTTAATGCAGTATTTTTCAAGAAGTCCTGGCAAATTATAAGAGAGGATGTGACACACGCTGTATTGGAATTCTTTGAAACAACTCAAATGTATAGACATGTCAATTGTACAGCTATTACCTTAGTCCCTAAAGTCAGGAATCCTGCCAGCATTAAAGAGTACAGACCTATTTCTTGTTGTACTGTATTATACAAAGTGATTTCCAAGGTTTTAACTAAGAGGTTGCAAGGAGTCATAGATACACTGATTGATAGTACACAGTCTGCATTTGTTCCTGGCACAGTAATCACAGATAGCATCATCCTTAGCCATGAACTTGTGAAAGGATATGGAAGGAAAGGGGTATCACCTAGGTGTATGATGAAACTGGATATGCAAAAAGCCTATGACTCAGTTGAATGGGCTTTCATGGAACAGATACTGAATGCTTTGGCCTTCCCAGAACAGTTTGTGAGGTGGATCATGACATGCGTGGAAACTGTCACCTATACAGTACTAATTAATGGTGCATTGACAAAGCCATTTGAAGCTAGGAAGGGGTTGGGACAAGGGGATCCAATTTCTCCATTCCTATTTGTACTGGCAATGGAATACTTGACAAGAAGCTTAAAGACATTGAATCAGATCCCTGACTTCAACTATCATCCCAAGTGTGCAAAGATGCAAATCTTACAACTTGGATTTGCTGACGACTTTTTATTGTTTTGCAAGGGAGATATAGGATCAGTCAAGTTACTGTTCCATTGCTTCACGGAGTTCTCAAAAGCTTCTGGACTGGTGATCAACAAGAATAAAAGTTCAATATTCTTTGGAGGAGTCACACAAGATGCACGAGAGGAAATCTAGAGTTTCTAGGAATTCAGAGAGGTGACCTGCCAGTTAGATACCTGGGTGCTCCTCTAAGCTCTAAAAGAATATCAATAGCTCAATGTCAACCTCTGATTGATAAAATAGTGGACAGAATAACTTCATGGACTGCTAAGTTTTTGTCTTATGCTGGAAGGATCCAACTGATAAAGTGTGTGTTGTTCTCTATCCAAACTTATTGGGCACAAATCTTTGTGCTCCCTAAGAAGATCACTAATCTAATTGAAGCAATCTGCAGAAGTTTTTTATGGACAGGAGAAGGCAATGTGTCAAAAAAGGCTCTATTGGCATGGGAGAAAGTCTGTCTCCCCAAATTAGCAGGGGGATTTAACATCATGAACTTAACTATCTGGAAAAAAGCTGCCATATGTAAACAGTACTGGAACCTTTGCAAAGAAAAGAAGAAGCTGTGGATACAATGGATGCATAGCTACTACATCAAAGATAGGAACATATGGGAAGTCTAACCGAAGCAAACATCATGGATGGTGAGCAAGATCATGAAATCAAAGAAGACATTTATGGATGCAGGATTCAGTTATGATGATATCACAAAGATGAACAAATGTTCGGTTAAACACATATATCACAGACTGCGAGGAAGATTTGACAAAGTAAGCTGGAGAAGAGTTGTTTGTCATAATACAGGATGCCCCAAGTGGATTTTTGTATTAACTATGACAGCACATGGCAATCTGTACACAAGAGACAGACTACAGAGATGGGGAATACAAGTTGATCAAGAATGTGTCTTATGCAAACGAGCTAGTGAAACCATTCAGCATATGTTTTTCGAATGTCCAATGCAAATGCATTGTGGAGTAAACTGTTAGTATGGCAAGGGATCAAAAGACCAGTGTATGGATGGGATGAGGAACTACGATGGGTTGAGAAGTGGACCAAGAGGAAAAATGCAGCAGCAAAATTATATAAAATGGCATTAGTAGCAACTGTGTACTTTGTGTGGCAAGAAAGAAATGTTCGAATTTTCCAAGCCAAGGCAAGAGGATGGGAGATAATATGCAAGCTGATAATACAGGAGATTCACTGTCGAAGTAATAAGTATATAGAGAAAAATCCTACATAGTTTAGACTGGTATCCAATGTAATAGATAGGAAATGTGTAAATAATAGAAAGGTGGTAAGGGGGTGAAGCATAGGAAAGTAGAAAAGTATGTAAGGGTTTTTGATTTACTTGTAAATATTTTCCTGGTAAATGAAAGTTTTAATTACCAAAAAAAAAAATTTTTTTTATTTAGTGTGGGGAGTGGAAAGAAGGGGTAGGGTGGGTGGGTGGGTGTGGGGGTGGGTTGGTAGGGATGGGGAATAGGGTAGGAAGGTTGAGAAGGAGTTTTGGAAAATATTTTCCCTTCTCTTGATAGGGAAAATATTTTCCTCTAATTGGAGAAAAATGAGTTCATGCGAAAAATATTTTCCAAAATATTTAAGCCAACCAAACATGGAAAAATTAGAAAATATTTTTTGGAAAATGTTTTCCTTCATACTAAACACACCCTTCATACCAAACACACCCTTGATGTCTTTGGCAGCTTGGCTTTGTGATCATCCAACTTTGGAAGACCGACTGCGTTGGTAGTTGGCCGCACTGCTGGAAGACTTTGTCATTGCTTTCAAGAGACCTTTGTTCTGCATCAACCGTGATTATTTCACACCCAGTACCATTTGTATTTGTGGCTCAATCAGCCTCGTCTCAAAAAGAGATTTCTTTTCTTAGATAACCTTTTCTGATATCTTGAATGGCTTTTGCTTTTGAATCAATTTGTCTTCCAAAGAGAGTCACAGCTGGTAAGTTCCTTTTGCATGATGTGCACACTTCATAGTCCTTGTTCAGTACTACAGAGAGTCCTTGATTAACTTTGAGGTTATCTTTGCTTGCTTTAGCTAAGTAGGCTGACAAGAGTCTTTTAGGGGTAAGCCTTTGCATGATACCTCAAGACATGTTGACTGTAACAACTAAGTGTGCTGGCCAGATCTATTTTGTACTAATGAAAAGCTAGTAGCAGATTTTGAAATCATGTCTTGCTTGTTTTGACAAGGACTGACTCAGAGTGAAGGGCACAATAATGCAAAGAAACAATATTAACAAGAAATGCTTCTATCGGGAATGGAAGAAGGAACTTTTTTATTGTTCGGTAACTAGCCTTAATAACCATGACATGCATTTTGGACTCAACGACCTGATTTATCAAACTGATCTAATCTTTTCTTTGGTACCATTCCTATGGCCATTGAAGTCGGGCTTGTTTGTGCCATTTCTTTGTATCAGCTTCACGACTCACTTTCAACTAGTGGTGCCCCGAGGGGTTTTCACCAAAAAGTTTCTCTCATTTATTTATCTCAACTTACCATCGCCTTACAGTGCCTGTGAAGATTTTCATTAGTAAGAATCTCTCATTTTTCTTTCATTTTTTTTTGAATTCCTTGAGCGAGAACCATGACCTTGTTCGTTGTGTGATAACTGTTGCATCATTTCATGCTTTGTTTGGCCTTCTCGAAATAGGTTAGGAGGTCTTTATTCGGAAGGCTTTTGGATATGGTTTGGAAGAAAAGATGGCACGAAAGCTCAAAAGACTCAATGTGATGGGGTTGTACACTTACAACTATTGGAATCGACTCTTTCAAATATTGAAATAAAAATTTTGCCCCAGTTTTAGATATTGCGGATTTTTTTTTTTAATTCTTATTTAGTTGGACCGGACCGTGTAAGACTGCCTATGTATCTTTTTTAAAGGAATCTGGTCAAACATAGTTCATACATCTGACCTAACTATTTTTTTTTCATCTTTTTTTTTTCTCTTTCTTTTTCTTTTTTTTCATTTTTTTTTCGTCGTTTTTTTTTTCTTTCTTATCTTCTTTTTGTTCCTTCTTTTTTTTTTTTCAAAAACAAGTTGCCACAACCTTTATTTTCTGGTGGCATGGACCTTTGACTGTTCTTTTTTTCTTCTCTTTTTCACTAGAACTTTCTAAAATTTACCCAGTTTGTACTCTTGGCGAATGGACTTTCCTTTTCATTTTTCCATTTAATTTTCATTTTTGGACTTATAACTCTAAACTTGATTCCAAAGAGGGTGGTCAAAGAAAATAACACAGGCTCAGAAAAGGTTACAAAAGGTAAAAAGTGTTCGGATATTAGAAAAAGGGCCTCCCAGCCTCGAGAACGCCAAAATAGTATCCTTTTGCGATCACAGCATTGATGAACATGTTTGTCTTCTTGGAGTGTCGTGGTCGAAAGACACGTTCCATCCATTAATGTCATTTCACCAAACTTCAAATGATTCTTACTTAAACCCGATCTTCATAATGATTTGAAGGTAAAGATGATTAACCTCCACGGGTATGACTATTCTAGTTCAAGACCAAATTCATTTAAACTCTTTTTTCATCCTCAAAAGTGTCTTTCTCAGTTATCTAATTCAAGAATAAATCAGTTTTGTTACGCCCCGTAATATTACGTCGATATCACGTTCCACAGTATTACATTGCGGTGATGTCACGCTTCGCAGTATCAAGTTACGACGATGTTGCACCCTGAAGTATTGTACGTGGAATTTGTCGTAAGGTAATTGAAATCAGTCCTAGTAAAAGATTATTTGGAGATTATAAGGATTACGTTATTTCACAAGTGATTAGTAAATTCATGAAGGTGAGAGGGCCAGCAAGTCGAAGAAAATGAATTTCGTTGAAATTTGGCATTTTAGGATAAAATATGGGCCGAGCTAAAATACCCGGTATTTATGAACTAGTACCATGCAAGGTACCATATGACC